GGATTGATGGGCAGTGTTGTGCTGAGGGACCACTTGATAATTGTGGTCATAAATTCAACATATCACCATTCAGGATATTCTGCTTTTTGAGGACAGACTTTGACTATTGGAAGAGGTAAGTTTTGCCACAGTTGAGGTTTGGCCAAGTGAGCATAGTGGAGAGAGCAGAGCAAGAGAAGTATGGAAGTTTAGAGTGTATATAAGGGGGTGATTATCATGACAGAGCATGGAATATGAGTTAGATTAGATGGACAGGAGGGAGGTAAAGGACAGTGAAAAATCAGTAGGTAGGGTTCATTGTTTAAAAGTCTCCAGGGGCTCCTGGGTAACTCATTAGATTTGATGTCCAACTCTTGGTTTCTGCTCAGGTAATGATCTCGTGGTATGTGAGTTTGAGCCCCACATCAAGCCCTGTGTCAGGCTTCACTCTGACAGTGCAGATCCTGCTTAGGATTCTCTCTCTCCCTCTCTCCCTGCCCCTCCCCCCCAAAAAAAAAATAGGTAAATAAACTTTAAAAATAAATAAATGCCAAAGAGTTAAGTGGAAGTTTAAGGGAAAGATGGCTAGGAGACGGTGAATAGGGAATGGGGTGTTTGGAATCAGTATGTGGGAGGGATTTCACACATATTCTGGTTTAATACCTACCAACTTCATATTATCTCCATAGACAAATTATGTTTATAAAGATTAAATAACTTGACCAAGGTCACACAGCGAATAAATGACAGTTTGAATAGGAAGTCAAAATACTAGTTTCATATTTAAACTCCAGAATCTTTGTACTTTACCAGCTGCCTCTGATTCATGACAGTTGCCCACTAGACAAAGAGTAATCATTATTACGACTGAGAACGTTTACACTGTATTTGTTTTGCTTTCTTTAGGCTTATTAAGGTATGCAAATTTAAAAAAAGGCCTCAGACTACATTTCTAATTTTAAAAACATCTCCCTACTTTCTTTGTAAAACAAGTGGCCTTTATAATTTGATTGAAAATGATTTTCAGTTTTCATCTTTCAAAATTCACAAGTTAGCATTCACACATCAGTTTCGAGTAAGCCGTTAACATAGAGTAAATTTTACCTTCTCACTCTACAGTAAAATAAAATTTCCCAATGTTAAGGAGATTCCCCATTTTCCTGCACTTGAGATTATTTAAATAGATCCCTGCTTAACTGTAAACAATGTCGATCTAAGGAAAGGAACTTAAGGTAATTTTTATTATCTCTAATTAGGAGGCTTCAAGAAAATTTGCTTAGGGTCTGAGTAGATGGTAGTCAAGATTTTATGCTTTAGTGGAGGAAAAGTGACATTTTAAATATAAGGTTTTTCAGCCTAATAATTAAAATAGCAATTCTTAGCAGACTTCCACAATACTGCAAACAAACAAAACCCAATTGTCAGGGCTGTTTTTAGTTTAAATTACATGGAACCCCTTCCAACAATACCTGTAGGTATAGAGCTACATAATTCCTGAGCAGGGAGTTTTCTTTGCTGTAATTACATTCATGTGGTGACTCATAAACTCTCTTAATTCCTAGATTTTATAATTGAAAAGAAAATATTCCCTTGAACTTTGAAAACCTGGAAGATTCAAAAGTTGTTTTTCAGAAATTACTGTGATTATTACTACTATCTCAACTTCTCTAAGTGATATTGTACCTAGTTGCTTTTGATCTCACTCGTGCTAGGGGGTTTACTCAGGTGACTGATGGAGAAAGGATCCCACCAGTACTCAGCAGCAGGGCTGTGCTGTTCTGGGTCCCGGGACCTAAGCAGCAGAGATCTGGGGCTTTCCCTCTGGTATTCACCACCGACACAACTCTGTTTCTCTCAAATGCCTGCTTATTTTTGACTTTCTGCTTCTCTTTCCTTGAATTATTTTTTTGTGTGTATGCATTTATTTGTTCAGATTCCCAAGGGAAGGAATAGTTTTTGCTAATAAACACTGCCTGGGTATGGCAGTTTTTCTCTCCCACTTCTGGGGAGGTTATTTGAGACCGATACAAGGTTGAGGGACAGTCCCTTGTAGACATCTGGCTGGTATCTCTCCTGTTCGGGGTATGGTCACGCCTAAGAGGGTGAGATGTGGATGCTTGCACAATGACATGTATTGCTTGAGGCAGATTTTTATCATGAGTCTTTACTTTTGTTAGAAGGCCTTGGAGATTTGTGAAATACTATCTGATAACCCTATAATAAGGGGAAAAAAAAGCAAGCAAGAAATAAAAGAAAGACAACTGTTGGTTGGATGTTCAACAGACACTCTCTCCACCACCATCCTTCCCCCTAACATTATTCAGCTCTCTCTTGGGTAGTCATGATATACATGCCAGGCTCGGGAGAAGGAGAACTTGATTGTTCAAAGACAAATTTCCCAGTGAAAAGATTTGTTTTGGCGAGGCCCAGTAAGGTAATTCTGGAAAAACATGTTTGAGACGATGAATGCTAGGGGCTTTTTGTGATGTTTACTGACTCTTTTAAGGAAATACAATTTGTTTGTTTTTTAATGTGGGATATTTTTATCTGTGTGAGATGCTTAGAATTGCAGTAGCCATGTTAGGGTCATGATAGGAACCAGTTAAGAGAACAGATCACTCACTATACTGATGGCAGAACAGAAGGATGAACTTATGCCTGGTCACACAATTGTGCTGAGCCACCACACAAGCTAACTCTGGAGCTGCCTTGTTGTCTGGTGGGAAGTTACTTTGTTGCAATGGTAGTCTACAAGTATACTACTAGGCAAGCTAGCCCCCATATGCCAAATTAAAATCTTCAGGTCACATGGTTTGCTGAATTAATTTTAAGGACCTGGTGACAAGCAAGAGGAAAGAAATGGGTAGGTTAGCACACTTAGGTTAGGGTGCAAGTTGGATGGAAGAATCGCTCTGGCTAATCCTCAGGTACACGGTGTTCATATGTTCTGCTTCTCTCTCTGTTGCATCTATCTTCCCTACTGATGATGTGGTTTCAAGGACTAGAGGTGAGGTTTTGGCAAGCTCCATAGGTGAAAGGTAGTCCAAGTTAATGATACCTGTTTGCCGTATCTGAATTACACAGGGACAGTATGCTTGGTCGGGGGTTGTAAATTGCTGGTTAGCTTGATGGTCAGTCATGAATTCTCTTTGTATTTTGGAGGCAAAGAAAACATGAGGCAGAAATGGATGTCAGCAGTGTTTCTTAACCAAAGCTATTTTAACCGTGAGTGTACATTGGCAATATTGGGAGACATTTTTGATAGTCATGACTAGCGTGTGTGTCTGTGTGATGCTACTGGAACCTAGTGGGTAGAGGCCAGGGATGCTGCTAAACATGTGACAGTGTATAAGACACCCCCCAAGACAAAGAATTATCTGGCTCTAAATGTCAGTAGTATGGAAGTTGAGAAGCCATGGGTATTGAATGAAGACCTCATAAATAATAAGTGTTTATGTATAGTGTATCCTGGATATTTAGTATCTTTTTTTGTATATTTATTATATCATGAACATTTATCACCCAGGTGCCTCATGAACATTAGGTATCTTTTGGTCATCCATCCCTTTCTATCAGTGTGTAACACACACATGATCTTCTTAGTTATACTTTACACATCCTTTGCATTCTGGCACATCTAACACAATTTTGTTTACTAGTACTTATCTATATTTAAGACATCTAAAATGTGTTTGCATGTATTTTATGAACTCCAGATTTATTCATCTAACATCTGGAGATTTGCAAAAGCATATTCACATTACACCTGTCCTGGAATTTCTAACAAGAAATAAGATATAAATGTCCTGATTGTTTAAGCCATTTTTAGTTGTGTTTTCTGCATCTTGTAGCTTAGAACATCCTAACTGACTCCCCCATAACATCAATAGGAAAATAAATTACAAAGATATATGAAACAAGGACTTAAGCTATGATTATATGTTTGATTATAGGTTTCCAAAATGGCAATGTAAGGGTCAGATGCTGGAGGAAATTGATGATGGTGCCTGGGTTAATATAACACATGTTTGATCATTCTGTTTACATTTCAAGCAACTGTAGACAGGGTGCTTATCACAGCAGACCTCTGTGCTCAGAAATTCACATTTTTGAAATGATTGGGACAATTTTGGCATGGTGACCTTCAGAACACTGTGAAAAAGATTATTTAGTTGGTTGAATGTCTATTAATACATTTAGAAATTTATAGCTTCACAATTATTTTTACTTAATGTTATTATTTATTTATTGCTTTAAAAATCTTCAGACTTTATGACTTGTTATAGAAGTTGTATCTTGAGGCACCACCATTAAAGGGGAATTTTTTTTCATATATATGGAATTAAAGAGAAGCATTTTTAAGATAATGTAAGCATGTTTAAGTTATACAAGAAGATTGTTTAGGAGAGATTTCAAAAAGAATTATTTAAAATTTCTGAAAGCACATTCCTTCTCATTTCTTCTACCTTCCTTTGCCCCCTTTTTAATGCTTTTTGTGATGGAAAGGATTATTTTGTTAGATTAATATATCAAACTTTAAAAATGGTCAAGTACAGTAGCAAATCAGAACTATTTAATAAAAACTAAAGTAAAACCAGGAAGAATAAGATGTCTTGCAAATAACGGTGTGCTTATGGTAGTTTCCGAGACCTGTTGAACTTGATCAGTGGCATTAGCTCTGCTGCAATGGGTGACAGGTGATTTAACCTCATATTTTTTTAGAAGTCCAGGTGTGTATGTGTGTGTGTGTGTGAGAGAGAGAGAGAGAGAGAGAGAGAGAGAGAGAGAGAGAGTGTGTGTGTGTGTGTGTGTGTGTGTGCGTGTGTGTGTGTGTGTGTGTGTGTAAGAGAGAGAGAAAGACAAAAGGAGAGGGGGAGGGATACAGAGAGAGCCCTATAAAGTTGTCTTTTTGTATTCAAATCTGAGTTAAAAATCAGAAAGCTGATATATGTAAACTTGGTGACTTTCAAGTGATTTATACTCTCAGGGTCCTTTTTAATCACCATTTCTATCTGTTACAGCGATTTGCTGTCCTCTGAATACGTAGAGAGACATGTTGAACATGGAGGGAAGACTGTGGAAGTTAAAGTAAGTAAGATTGTCTCCCTCTGGCGGAGATTTTTTGAAAATTGTTAAAATATTATGATTTTAATTTTCAGTGAAACTTCTAATGTACAGTTTTGGGGTTTCTGTATTTTGGCATTTTTCAACTAAGTGTATCACCCTCTTGTGAATAAAACCTTTAGTTACCAGAAAAAGGATTCTTAGTGTGCTATAGGAATTGTGGGAGTTACGTTTTATGGGATTGATACAAGGGTTGTGTGGGATTAATACAATGCAAGGGTTCTTATTTAGAATATGTCACAGAAAGTAATTCCTGAAATTTGCCTTTAAGGTTAGCCCTGAGAACCAAAAGGTGAAATCTTGGGTCCAGGGTAGGTATGTGACTTTGCATTCAGTTGGAAAAGACATTCCCCTGGTAAAATGATAAATTTATTTGGTGTTCAGGGTAGTCCCAGGAGGTTTTAAATCCCTGGAGAGAGAAATCTCAGGATATTGTTCTTTTTTTTTTTTTAAGTTTATTTTGAGAGAGAGACAGAGAGAGACAGAGAAAGTGGGGGAGGGGGAGAGAGAGAGAGAGAAAGAGAGAGAAACTGAGAGAGAGAGAGAGAGAGAGAGAGAGAGAATCCGAAGCATGCTGTCAGCATGGAGCCAGATGTGCGGCTCGAACTCACGAACTATGAGATCATGATCTGAGCCGAAATCAATAGTCAATCAAAAGTTGGACACTCAAGCAGCTGAGCCATCCAGGTGCCCCGGGATATTGATTCTTGTCAAGTAAGCTCTGAAGAGATGCCTTGTAAATAAAATCCTCCTCCAGTTGCAGACATAGGCATGTGTATTTTTTTCTGGTCTACTGATGATGATGTAATCTGAGGGTATGTGAGACCAAATTCCACCCAAAGGTTTTTTTTAGGCTCATTTTTTTTTTAGGCTCATTTTGTAGTATTATAAGTTTTGGCTAAGTGTTTATTTTCTTCCGAAAAGAGTTCAGACTACCTCTTTGCCTTGTCAGAATTATAATACCATTTATATATATTTGCTTTCTTTTTCCGAATATACATTTGATACAGACTCGTTTTAACTTACAAGTAGATAAAAGTAAAAATAAAAATGAAAACTCCCTAAAATTCATCACTGAGGTAAACTTTGTTTTAATTTTATTGTATTTTCTTTTAGTATTGTTTTGCCCTGTGCACATATTTATATTTTAATTTTTTTTATATTTGCTATCATATACATCTGCAGTATTGTATCTTGCTTTATAAGCAGAATTTCTATATCATGTATAGATATCTTTGATAAAGACTAAAAACAAAATGTGTTAATTTTTACAAGTGAACTAATTTATAATAATTATGCCAGTCCTTCCAGAAAGTTATTCTAAACTTGTTAAGGCTGACAAATGGATTGGTTGGTTGATTTATTTCACTGCCTTTCTGCAGAAAGGACGTCAGGATGCTTCCAGGCATGACACAGGAGAATGGTGCCATGTTGCTTATAGTCGGAAAAAATTACCTAGATTTAGAATCTCTGGGCTTTTATTCTCTTTCCCGTTGCTTGGCTTTACTTCCCTATTTTGTATGTTGCTTTTCTGAATGCAGAGTATTTGTTATTGTTAAATTAAAGAGGAAAAGAAACAGGCAGTTCACTATTTCTGTTTATGCCTGTCAGTGGAATGATGAAATGCAAATATGAGCATGGAGGGCAGATCGAGCAAAGAGCCATCTGCTGTTGCTCCAGTAATGTCCCTTTTCAGGAAACTTGTACTTAATCAACAGAGCGTACTCCACTCTGAGATCATTAGGCTCCATGGATATATATAACACTCAGAGCACTGACTTTCTGCACAATCTTTGCTGATTTTCCAGTCTGAGAATTTCATTTTCTTTGTTTGATGGTTGCCTAAATCCCAACCCTATTAAACCAGGGAAATAATAAAATCCAACCTTCATTTAAATCCTTGGGCCAGAAGACGTTTCTCCCTTTCAGAAAACCACTGGGATCTCACCCATCACCTCCATTTGTGTCTAGTCCCTTTAAAAACCTAACTCAAAATTCTCCTCTGGGTTTTTTCCAGAAACCACACTGAAAGCTCTGAATCCTGCCCCATCAATTCAGTCAGTAGCCAGTTATTTTCCTGCTGGTTCCCTCGTGTCTTGCCCTTTGTGCTTAGCCCATTGGGGTGTTTCTTTTTAACGTAATCTGTTCTCTTTTCTTTACTAATGACTCAGAATTTTCTTAAGCTTTTCTTTTCACTGTACATTATGAGTCAACTAAAATTGTAAAATTGTAACATTTTGTATTTCTTTTTCTTCTTTCTACTACCTTTTCAAAAAATTTTTTTTCTTATGTGCTGTACTAGTTTGCTAAGGCTCCCATAACAAAGTACCACAGAGTGGCTTAAACAACAGAAATGTATTTTCTTACAATTCTAGAGGCTGGAAGTTCAAGACCAAGGTGTCAAATGGGTTGGTTTCCTCTGAGGCTTGTAGATGGTGCCTTCTCCATATGGCTTTATGTGATTTTTCCTCTGTGTATATCTGTTCTCCAATTTCTTCTTAAAAGGACATTCATCATGTTGGATTAGTGCCTGCTCTTAACAACCTCATTTTAACTTAATTACTTCTTTGAAGACTATCTTTACAGTCTGAAATAGTAGGGAGTTAGGACTTCAACATAAGAATTTCAGGGGAATACAATTAAGCCCATAACACCTTTCCTAAGAGCTCTATTTGGTTTGGTTTTGTTTGGTTTTGTTTTTAAATTGGCTTTGCTTTTGGAAGTGAAATAAATGAAGGGTATGAAATCAAGACAAAACTCTACTTCTTTAAAAAAATTTTTTAAACGTTTTTATTTATTTTTTAAGAGACAGAGCATGAGTGGGGAAGGGGCAGAGAGAGAGGGAGACCCAGAATCCTAAGCAGGCTCCAGGCTCCAGGCTCCAAGCTGTTAGCACAGAGCCCGATGCAGGGCTCCAACCCCACAAACTGCGAGATCATGATCTGAGCCGAAGTCAGATGCTCAACTGACTGAGCCAACTGGGTGCCCCAAAACTCTACTTTTTTGATGACATAAAACCAAATTCATTTATGCCAGATTTAAGCAATGAGTAGACATCAATCTGATAAATAACTGCTCACGTGTCATGGAACCTTTATTTGTGAGACTCAGGTACAATGCATTTATTTAAGTGTGTGAGTATGACTGTGGGAAAGGAATGTATTTGCATGGAAAAGTACATAATAGCTACTTTGGCAAATCTTTTAGATTCCGATTATATTTTTCAAACCTTTTTTTTTTCCAAACATTTTTTTTTCTAATATATAACACTGGCATGGAAATTACTAAGGTGAATACTCCATAACCACTATCCAATTCAAGAAATAGAGCTTGACCAGCTCTTCTGTGTGATACTTCCCAAAGCTGAGCTCCTCCTGCCTCCTCTTATAGACTTGTAAATACTATTGTGACTTTTCTGGTTTTATTTATTGTTTTATTACCCAAGCATGTATCCCTGTAGTTTAATTTTGCCTAAGTTTTTTAAATGATTTTTAAAAAGTCTCTTTTAATCCATTGGTTTCCCCATATCTTTCTCTTTTTACAACAAATTTGTTTCTTCCACAGATAAATTGTTGATCTTGTGTGTTTTCTCACAGTCTGGATTTTGCTGTTGACTGCAGTTTTATATTTAGAGTAAAATGAAATATGTGTCAGTGATCTTTCCTTAAGATAGTAATGTGTATTGTCTGCAAAGACATTCTATGCTTTGTCAAAGGTGGTTTTATTCTGGTCAGATAGATACAGAATCCTGATTTTAAAGTTTTTTAAAAAACTTTTCTTCAAAGGTTACAAAGATAAAGGCTTTAAGCAGAAAAAAAATATTTTTGTACCTTTAATAAGACATATTAATCTCATCTTTCACTTAAATTTATTTACATTTCATTTAAAAATTAAATTCTAAATTTGCCCCTTAGCTTAGAGAGAACTTTTATGTGTTTAATATGAACTTTTAAAAGAATTTTAAGGAGGGGCGCCTGGGTGGCGCAGTCGGTTAAGCGTCCGACTTTAGCCAGGTCACGATCTCGCGGTCCGGGAGTTCGAGCCCCGCATCAGGCTCTGGGCTGATGGCTCAGAGCCTGGAGCCTGTTTCCGATTCTGTGTCTCCCTCTCTCTCTGCCCCTCCGCCGTTCATGCTCTGTCTCTCTCTGTCCCAAAAATAAATAAACGTTGAAAAAAAAATTTTTTTTTTAAATAAAAAAAAAAATAAAAAAAAAAAGAATTTTAAGGGGCGCCTGGGTGGCACAGTTGGTTGAGGGTCCTACTTCAGCTCAGGTCATGATCTCACAGCTTGTGGGTTTGAGCCCTGCATCAGACTCTGTGCTGATGGCTCAGAGCCTGGAGTCTGCTTCAGATTCTGTCTCCCTCTCTCTCTGCCCTTCCCCCACTCATGCTCTGTCTCTCTCTGTCTCAAAAATAAATAAAAAACATTTAAAAAGAATTTTAACAGTAAGCTTCAACTGATCAGAGTATCTTGGGAACAAAATCTTTTCATTTTGACTGTGAAGAACTGTATATCTAGATTCTTGAGACAAAGTAAATTAGGATTGATGAGCAGCAGCAAATGAGTGTACACTGTGCAGCTCACTGTTTTATTGTTAGCTAGCTTTTTTGTCTTGAAAGCTGCCAATATTCAGCTTAATTGGTTTCCAGTTATATAGACTCTGGTTAATCAGTGTTATAATACTAATAATCATGGTATTTATTGCTTGTGATGTGACAGGCACATGAACTTATATGTATTTGGTGTTCAAAATGACCTGTGATTATAAATATAATTATTATGACACTTGACAGGAAACTGAGGTATATAGAGGTTATGTAACTTGCTGAAATCAACACAGTGAAAAGTAGTAGAGCCACATTTGAAATCTAGGCTATTTAACTCCCGAGCTGACTCTTACACCATATTATCTACCATATATTCTATATTATGTAAGAGAGGATAGCCATGAAAACTGAAACGT